AACCAACATTTTAAGCATGGTTGACAGGGCAGGCAACGCATGAATCACAGTTGGTATATGAAAATAAAGAAATACGGCTACAATTGCAGGATCATCACTATAGATTTACATTTCGCACAATCAATGCTGCTGATGGTGTGAATGAATTGGCAGGTTATGTATACTAGTTCTTTTGTATCTCTGTTTTTAAACAAGATAGCCGAAGCAGAAAAGCTGCATGCTGCTCGAGCAACATGCTAAATACAGTCTGGGCCTTGGGGAGAGAATCACAAGAGAGCCCAAGTGCAAGGGCAAAGTAAAAAAAAAGGAACATTTATTATATACTGATAAGACTGCTGACTGGGCGAGTTGGTAGTTCATGTCGAATAACGTAACAGCGCACAACTATGGTGTGTCTGAGTTTGCGAGTGTTTCTCTAGTTGTGCGCTGTTATGTTATGCGACATTTATTATATGCATTGCTCGCATTTGACCTTTGCTGGATTCGGATAGTATTTGAATGGACCACACGGGTGGTATCTGTGGACTTGTTTATATCAACCCCCAAGTAATGTGTAGCAAACGTAAGCGAAGGTGTCTAGCTCGTTATTAGTCCCTTAAGCCCTAAACTTGAGATTTTACTTAAATCGACTTGTCCTGAAGCTAAAATACCAGAAGCTTAATTTTCTCACGCAGACTGTCACCCTTCACAGGTTCCACATTTACTGCTACTAGTGCTGCATCTACCACTGGACAGACGTTCGAATGCTGGCTTTTACTCCTGTTTTCCTCTGTTGTCAGAGAGTCCACTGCTGCAGGGAGTTTGGAGGCTAAGGAAGCTTTTGGGGACCTGCAGCAGTGCATCTTTTAATTGGCAATAACAATTCAGACTAACCGATGTATTTTCCGAATACCCAAGGCTGGAATAAAGAATGTCAAAAAGAAATTATAAACATTCCAAATTACGGCACTATTGCTGTGCATATTTAGGGCAGTTCAATACATATCATACTGGCAACTGAGGTCAATTCGGCCGTTCTTGCTGCTTCCATACAAACTAATTTCCAGTAATTGTGCATCTTCTAAGAAATATTCCGGCATACGTGCATGTATAAACTATATATTTATTTCACGAAAAAGCTACAATTATGTAAAACAACCCTGTTCTTCACACATGCAGCGGAGCGCTACAAGCATAGCGCTGACCTCGCGCTAAGCGCGTGCTGACGGTAGCGTTCACCAGCTTTGTATCACACCGTCAAAACTGTTGCTCGTGGCAGACGATAAGTAGCTGACGACACGTGAGCAGCGCTACATGAGCGCTTCGCTGCATGTGAGAACCGGCCTTAAAGATCATCAGACGCAGGGCCTTTAAAACATCTGCGAACCAGCGTATGCAGAGCGGCAGCGCAGAGTCGGAGTCGCGAGCTAATTTGCCGACCACCCAAAGGCCCATGATATAAATGCCACTTCAAATGCCCTGAAAGCGGGATGTAATATCGTCCTAAATCATGAACATGCAAGGAACAGAATCCCAGCGTCTGAAACACTTGCGCCACCGCTTCACCGACCCCTCGCAAGATTGCCTTGTGTCGTGTGGACGGACGGGGAGGCTCATCGGCGGAATTGCCTCCGCCAATAGCTTTCGGGATTTGTAACCCAATTTTAAAATGTAAAAGGGACAAGCAGGCTTATAAATTGTACGGAAGCACGTCAATATCGGCCTAACTCAACATTTTGTACACCGGGGAAAAGGAAGTCCAGCTCCTCGAAGAGCTTGCGGCACACAACGCCAAACCAGGAAACCGGTGCTGGGAAGCGAGCCGAAGAGATTTCGCGGAGCGGAGTCCTCCCCTTGACGTCACGGTACACCTCACCCAATCAGGGCGCGGCGACCGCAGCGACGCTTGTGTTCGCTCTCGGGGCTATGAACCTAAAAACTGTCTAAGCATAAAGCGCGCACCTCCCACTATACTGGTGGAGTCCGCACGTTTTCTGTTACCCACTCGAAGGCTTTCCAAGTTAAAGGGACACTGAACCGAAATTCGGATTTCGCAAAATTAGGCCGCAGAAGCGTTGTTGAGGGGAAGCGACCCGCTTCTCTCCTCCTCGCTTCGGTTCACCAGCTAGACGGAACGTAGCGAGCAGGAGAGGGAATGGGATTCGTGATTTTCCTTGTTTCGTCGGCCTCGTCGGCCGTGTGCAATCGCGCACTTCTTTTCCAAAAATACGGCGATCTGTTAGAGATATCGCTGTACCAGTGATGTTTTGGGGTTTTGGAGTGTCCCGACTATCCGTCCAGCCATGTTTTGTGAGCTCGACATTTCAGTTCAGTATCCTTTTAAAGACGCCTTTTTGAAATATTTTTTTAACTGCGTCGTAGTGACTTTGCATTTCGCTTGTTTGTTTTTATTGAACCTAAAAGACCAATGAGCGCATCTTTTGCTCTCAACGATAGACTTCCTCCAAAATTCGAAGCGCCCCATCGCGGCGAAATGCCAGGCAATGCACTCTGGGAGCTACGTAGTTGGCCACTCAGTTTCGGTTTCGATTGAGCTGCTTCGTGACCAAATGTGCTGCTTGCGTTTTCGATGAAAGCTCGTTCTTACAGCTCCGTCGACCGCGTTGCGTTGCGCTGCGTTGCGTCATGCAGCACAGTGCCTCCCCGTTGCCTCGTCGTAAGGGTCGCCATAGCAACAGTTCGATGCAAGCAGTCTTAACGCAGTCAAACGCAACTGTGTGGACGAGCTTTTATCTGATTCCCCACGAATGTACAATACCCTAAGCATTCTCGAGCGATATAGAAGAAAAACCAGGGCACTTTTCTTGGCATCCAACATGCCAGATAGTGTACGTGCGTATGCCAACGTAGTAAGACGTGGCTTAATCACCTAACCCCATTATTGTATATTTGCCCCTAAATTTCAATAATCCTGTGTGGTACCGGTGAACCACAATAAAATTTTTATCACTTTGAGCCCTACACATATTTAGTTTGCCAAACGCCCGCTTCTTGTTGCTTCATTGAGCGAAAAACAAGCCGCACCCTCAAAGGAGACGCACAGTTGAGCCCATTGTTGGCACATTAACTTTTTTTATGCGATATTTTATGGTAATACGGGATTGCAACAGACTTGCTCTTTGATTTCTGTTCTCCTTCGCTTTTGTCTGCGATTTGTAGACACAATTGTCTTTTGGTGAACTAATCTTCATAACCGGCTTTGTTTAATCTTTTTCACTGTCTTTCCAACGATTGGGTCATGAAATGAATAGAAGACCTTTCTATTGCATTCCTGGTTAATGATTCAACTACCTCCTTCTTTGTAGTTTTTGAGTGGCATCTTAATTTTGATAGCACAGTACAGCCCTTTTTTAATATGAATTAACAAATCTAAAAACCAGAGGACTGCATTCTTGGGTCTTTCCACCGTGAACTGAAGCTCAGATGCTGTTGTTGTAACCAACGCTTCTAGGCTATTTAAAAGACCTTCGCGAAAAGAGCAAAGCAATATGTCATCAAGATATCTTTTAACAATACACATTTCTGACGACTCTTGCAACCTATCAGACAAAACACAATCCAAGGAGCTCAGGTAAATTTCAGCTAATGCCGGTGCAACAGATGACCCTATGCACACTCCCCCTTTTTGTATATACATTTTTTCTTCATATTTTACAACTGTCGACTGGAGGTAATACTCAAGAATAGAAAGAAAACTATCTATGGAAATGCCTGATTGTAATTGGAATTTAACTAAATTCAACCTCGTCCACCTTCTTCAGTAGACGACTTCTTTTGCAGTGAGTAGTAGAGATGTTCGATGTTCGACGTACATCGAAAAAAAATTGTACACTCACTTCCATGGTGATCCTTGTTTACTCGTTTGAATTCCTTAAGGCCCTGTAACACTGAGGCAACACGACGGCAACAACAACACAACAAGTTGTCTGACAGTCAGGCAACTTGTTGCTCGCTCCCCGTGTAGTCCGACAAACCTGTACGTCACATCGCGGCAACAGTAGCACAACGTGGACGACAACTAAAATGTTGCCTCGGTATGACAGCTTTCGGCAACAAAAACAGCAGCAACTTGTGTTGGACAACGTGTGTTGCCCTTATCGCTAGCTGAGTGAATTTCGGGCCGGCAACACAACACAAATAGCTTCGACGGCAGAGCTAGTTCCCTGTCAATAACGTATTACTCTAATAAAGCTTGGAAAACGTTATTTAACAGTAATTAGGGCTGGCATGCAACTGAAATATTTTTATTGAGGTTTTTTCTGCGTAATTACGGAAAACGATTGTCGAAATGGTCACAGATCTCGTGAACGTTCAAACTGGTATTGGAATTAAGAGCCGCCGAGAAACCAGTTCACATTACTGTTAGCGAAATAAACTGGCACGCCTACTCACCCGCTGATAAAGTATAATAAAAATAATCCAGGAAAGCGAAGATTAAAAGAGCTAAGCGATAAAACGACCACTCTAATCGTAATTGTTGATGCTTGGAACTTGGAAACAGCCGCTACCAGACACCTGAATTGATTAAGAAATCCCCAGGACGTTTTCGGGAATGAAGCGATCACAAAGCAGGCGGTAGGCAAATAAACAGCGTTGAAAAATTTTATTCCACCGATTGTTATGGAGGCCGTTCGGATCGGTGTCGCAGTTTTGAAACGCTGTCAGTTCAGCTCAAGACCACGTTTCAAAAGACGCTTTGGGGCACTGCCGGTGCTTACTCAATTTTACAGTAGAAATTGGAATTGCATGAAAGAAAGAACCGGCCAGAAACTCTTCATACCGGGTGGCGTAAGTCTGCGTCTCCAGCTTGTCGCTCGCCCTCCCGCGGCGGAAACGAAAAGCGCTCTAGTGAGGGTCCCCCGATTCTCCTGCTCGGCGGGCACGGCGGAACTGCTCGCGATCATGGCTCGCCAAATGTCGTTTCCGAATGCAGACTGTTACGCCTTAGCTGCCATCCGCCGTTCGGCCAGGCGCGACGCGAGTATGACACGCTCCGGTGGTAGCCAGTATGGGACAACGCCCCCTTTATTGCTTCGAACACAGATATATAGAGAACGCCACGACTAGTGACGTCAACAGGGAAACTGCTATCGGCTTGATAACAGCGAGTAGACAGGATGTAAACAATGACAATGCAACATTTCTTCTCCTCTTAATATTGCAAACGATCGATCGGTTTCCGTGTCCGCGTTGAGCGTCGTAAGGCTGGTTGGTCTTGACCGTCGGGGGCTGGCGCGTCTTGCTCGCACGGTGGCCCCTGGCTGTCCGGCTGTCCTAGTGTCACTGGCGGCCCGACGTTGTCCGAACCGTTTTTAGGGCCACCCAGACTTTCAGTCGGACCTTGTCTGCCGCGGACCTGGTCCATGTGTCGACGGACTGTTCCCTCCGGAGTCTCGATGACCAGCATCCTTGACCCGAGCTTGTTCTGGACGGTCCCCGGTGACCATCTTTCACCTTGGCCGAAGTTGCGGACCCACACCGGTGCTCCAAGGTCCCAGGAGTCTCCTTGAACCTGCACATCGTCGGACAATAACGCAGGCCGGAACGGTACACTCATGTCCAGGCGCGAACGAATGCGGTACCCGAGAAGTATTTCCCCTGGGGACTTGCCACACGCTAAAGGCGTCCGACGATAATTTATCAGAAGCTGCGCCAGCCTTTTTCCCAAATCTCCCCCAGTTAACTTAGCGAGGCCGAACTTTATCGTCCTGACTGCCTGTTCAGCCAACCCGTTAGACTGAGGATGATAGGGCGCACAGCGGAGGTGACACACATTGTTTCTTTTCACAAAATCTTCTAAATGCTGACTAATGAACTGAGGTCCATTATCAGAAACGATTGTTCTGGGCAGACCGAACCTGCTGAACAGTTCTCGGAGTTGATTCACAGTCGCCTCTGCCGTTGTTGATCGCATGATGCAAGCTTCAATCCATTTGGAATGGGAATCGACGACTATCAGCAACATCCTTCCCTCAACTGGTCCTGCAAAATCGATGTGCACTCTCGACCATCTTTCTTTTGTTTCTGGCCAATTCACCGGTGAGCACGCAGACGGCATTGGGGCGGCTTGTACGCACTCGTTACAATTTCCGCTCAGTTGTTCCACCTCCCGGTCCAGTCCCGGCCACCAAAACAACGACCGCGCATTTCTCTTCATGGCTGATACCCCCTGGTGAGATTCGTGCAGCAGCTTCAGGATGTCCGGGCGGGCCCGTGTCGGAATCACGAGGCGCCGGCCCCAGTAAAGTAACCCACGGCACGTAGACAGCTCGAGCTTCCGGGAAAAATAAGGCTGTACCTCTGTCTGGTTCTTCAGAAGGCTAGCAGGCCAGCCGTTCTGCACGTACTTGATGACCTGCAACAACGTATCGTCTGTTTTCATCAAGTCTTCTAGCCGCTGCGCGGACATAAATGCTTCGTCTACGCGGTGCAACGTCAGCACAAATTCCGGGAGGTCTTCTTCCACTGGTGGTCCTTGCCGTGGAAGTGGCAATCGACTCAGCGCGTCAGCGTTTCCGTTTTGTTTGCCGGGTCGAAATTCTATTTTGTACCGAAAATCGCTGAGTAGCAGAGCCCACCTTTGAATCCGTCCAGATGCCAGTAGCGGGACAGGCCGGTCTTCTCGAAGCAGACCCACAAGTGGTTGATGGTCCGTGACTAATACGAATTGGCGTCCCAGTAAATAATCACGGAACTTGATTACGCCAAAGATCAACGCAAGTGCCTCCTTTTCTAGTTGCGAATAGTTCTTTTCGGCGGAGGTCAATGTTCTTGACCGAAAAGCTATCGGTGTATCGACACCCCGGATCTTGTGCGATAGGACGGCGCCCACTCCTGTTGGGGACGCGTCACATTCCAGTCGCAGTGGCTTCTCAGGGTCAAAAAATTCAGGACCGGTGATGTCAGCAGCGCGGCCTTGGCCTGTTTGGCGGCCTTATCTTGCCTTGGTCCCCAATTCCACCTTTGATCCTTGCCGAGCAGCTCGTATAACGGTGCTAGCAGCGTCTACATATTGGGCAAGAATCGGTGATAATACGTCAGAAGCCCAAGGAAGGAGCGAAGTTCGCTTACATTTGACGGTGTCGGTGCATCTCGGATGGCCTCCAAGTTTTTCTCGATTGGATGTAGTCCTTCCTTGTCGATCTGGTGGCCCAGGTAAGTGATGTCCGGCTTCCTAAATTGGCATTTTGATCGCCGAAGCTTGACACCCATGTCCCGGAAGCGTTGCAGCACCCTGCTCAGGTTGTCGGTTCCCGGTTGTTCCGCTACCAGGACGTCGTCCAGGTACACTTGCACGCCTTCCAGATCTGCGAGCATGCTCTCCATCTTCCTCTGAAAAATCGCCGGCGCGGAAGCAACTCCAAACGGAAGGCGATTGAAGCTGTAAAGGCCACGATGGGTGTTGATGACTGTTAATTCCTTCGACTCTTCATCCAATGCCACCTGGCTGTAAGCATACCTAAGGTCTAAGGTGCTAAATAAAGAACCGCCCCGCAACGACGCAAACATATCAGCTATGTTAGGTAGCGGATACTGCTCTGTGTTGCACGCCATGTTCGCTGTCAACTTAAAATCGCCGCACAGGCGTATCGAGCCGTTCTTTTTCTGCACCGGTACAATCGGTGCTGCCCACTCCGAATGGCTTACAGGTGAGATGACTCCGGCCTCTACCAACCGATCCAGCTCCTCTGACACTTTGTCGCGAAGCGCGTATGGAACAGGTCGTGCCTTCATAAACTTCGGCACCGCTCCCTCCCTCAAATGAAAACGTACCGGTGGCCCCTTGATGGTTCCCAGGCCTGGCTCGAACAGGTCCTGAAACTGCAACAGCAGGTCTTCCAGCTCTCTCGTTGAGCCTGCAACCACGCTTGACACCAGAGGGTCCAGTAAGTTCAGTTTGCCGATTACGTCTCGACCACACAGGCTTGGTCCGGGGCAGTTCACAACCACGAGCGAAGCCGGCACCGTGACGTCATGGACGGTCGCCCTCATGTGTAGCTCCCCGAGGATGGGCAGCTGTCCCAAGTAGCATCGGAGACTCAGCTTGGTTGCCGACAGCGCCGGCCAATGGTCCTTGTGCTCATTGTACACTTCACGGGGAATAACACAAACAGGAGAGCCCGTGTCGACTTCCATGGTCAGTCGTACTCCCCCCCAGAAGATCTGCTTTCGGACCGGCGGTTCAAAACTTGCCCGTGTTCGAGGTTGTACTGTGTATACTGATGCCAAGTCCAGGTCCTCTCCCTCTGACACCGTCGCAGCTGCAATCGTCGAGATTGGTCGTCCTGGAGTTGCAACGTCATTATGCGCCCCACATTTCTTCGCGAAATGGCCTTGTCTGCCGCATCGGAAACATCTGGCGAATCTGTGCCGACACGCGTCCCGTGCATGTGAACTGCTTCCGCTTCGCTCGCATTCTTCTTTTCTTGTATTGTACCTCCTTCCCAGGTCTGGCTGTTTTCGGGACTTTCCGGCTATTCTGTGTAGCTCCGCTTCATTTTTCACCTCCTGGCTTTCCATGTTCTTTACCTCCTTTGTGGCTACCTCTGCCGCGGTAGCTAAATCTTCTGCCTCTGCCAAAGTCAGGTCTCGCCTTGCCAGTAGTTGACGTTGGACTGTCTGGTTTCGCACTCCGCAAACAATGCGATCCCGCAGCATGCGGTCCAAGCTGTCTCCGAAATTGCAATTTTCCGCAATTTTCCTCAGTTCCACGATGAAGTCTTGCACCGACTCGCCTTCCCGCTGTTGCCGATTGAAAAACTTGTAGCTTTCAGCTATTTCGTTAGGCTTGGGCGCGTAGTGTCGACCCAGGATGCCGACAACTTCCTTGTACGTCAGTTCGTTGACCCTTCGAGGCGCGCATATTCCGCACAGTATTCCAATCGGCCTGGAGCCGAGCGCGGCTACCAACAGTGCGCGCTTCCTCTTATCTTCGGTAATAGCATTTCCTTCAAAGTAGGCTTCAACTCGAACAACATAAGTTTCCCACTTATCTTCTGCGTCGTGGAAGAAGGGAACTTGAAACGCCGTGGCCGCAGTTGCCATTCTTGGGCTGTCCTTGCTTGTCGTGCCCGTTGAGTGAGTTCAGCTCGTCGCCACTGTTACGCCTTAGCTGCCATCCGCCGTTCGGCCAGGCGCGACGCGAGTATGACACGCTCCGGTGGTAGCCAGTATGGGACAACGCCCCCTTTATTGCTTCGAACACAGATATATAGAGAACGCCACGACTAGTGACGTCAACAGGGAAACTGCTATCGGCTTGATAACAGCGAGTAGACAGGATGTAAACAATGACAATGCAACACAAACAACACTCTTCACTGTCCCAGCGTCGTGCTGCAGCCGGTATACACTCCGTGCGACGCGACCGGCGCGCCGCCGGGCGGCCGTTACCGAAGGTAGGCAGTGAGAGTCCCAGCGAAACGAAACCACGCCGCGTACATTGGTACGCATTGAAGTCGGAGCTGTGCGGTTGCGCTGGGTTCACAGCATGAAGTACTGCCTGTGCTGCGTCAATATTTATGCCTCGTATCTCGTGGGGACAAAGTTTAACAGTTTTTCACCTCGCCTATGTTTTGTGGGACAGCGACAACGATGGACCCGCGCCGTAGGACGCGAGAAGTTTGGTCTCCCGATCGTGTCGGCACGGCTGACATATTCTATACTGCCGCTTTCGCTCTGCGTTTGTTTTCGTACCAGTACCGCCTAGATATCTCAGCTCGAACTGAAATGCCATCCCACACTCGCGGGTATGCAGTGCGAATTTCGTTGAAGGAATTCCCTCCAAGGAAGTTTCGTCCCCGTCGTACGTGTCGATGATATTTCCGGACCAGTATGGCACGCTGTCTGTACTTCATGATGAAAGATTCGGAAGGTACAAAAAGCGACAAATATAAATCTAAGGAAAACTACAATGAAACTTGGAATCAATGGGCAATCGATGTTTGAGTATGGAAGTTTATGTGGTGTGCTTTCTTTTTTTAGCAGCCTCCTTTTGGATGTGGAAAAGCTGACACCCCGAGTCTTGCAGACAGCAATTTTTTTTTTCTCGGCTTTAGAGCCACCTATCGCAAAGTTGTTCGAACTGGAAGTACCGTCCGGTGGTCCCTTCCTACCTGTAAAGTGTGCGCTCCCCGGCCATGATGAGTGGAATTCTCTTGACAGCCTTTGACGGTCAAAACCAGTTCCCATTTAGTTACGCCGCCCAAAAATATTTTCACCTGGTTAAACTATGCCACCTCTTGTAGGTACAATAAGTGTTTTGTCAAGTTACGCTTGTCCAAGTACCTGTGTGACGAAAATCAGCACCTCGCACAACCAAATTGCTACACATCAGCTGACCGCAAAAGCCTTTGACGGCCAAACCATGTGTTGGCCGGCAACTTGGTTTTCTCGGCTCTGAAGCCAACTTTCGTAAAGTTGTTTCAATTGGAAGGAACAGTGCACTAGTTCCTTCCTACCTGTAAAGTCTCCATCTCCCACGACGATTCTCTTCACAGCACTTTCACGGTCAAAACCGTTTTTTTTTTATTTAGTTAGGCCGCCCAAATCAAATTCAGCCTGGTTTCCCTATGCCACTTATTTTTGGTATTATAACTGTTGTGTCAACTTACTGTCATGTCCAAGAATCTGTATGTCTAAATCTGCACTTCGAACAGCCCGGATATAACACAACATTTTGGATCCAATATTGGATATTCCTGACAGCTTTATTCCTTTATTCGTTCGAACCATAACTTTCACACCTGCTGTCTTGATAAAACTTGGACCACTTAGTTCACAAACTTAGTGAACATCTCACTCGCCTCCAAATATCATCGTCCCAGCAGTCCTCCGTTTACAGCGACGAGCGAAACAAATTTCCCACTGAGAGCAATTACGGTGGCGGCCGTCTTGCTTTTCGGAAAATTGCTGAAACCCCTTTTCCGACCGCAACTAAAGAAACTACCCCTAATAACGACTCAAACTCAATATATAATACCCTAGTTACACGGGAGCTTTCAACTGCCATTGAGTCAACGACAGTTGACTCAATCGCGATCGGCCGGAGTTACACGGCGGCGCCAACTGTCATTGAGCCGCTAATGACAGTTGAGTTCAACTGAGCTCCCCTACCTCAGTTCAACTGAACGGACTTCCCCAACTGAGGTAAAATGGCGCCTGTCCGCGGGACCGCTGCCGCCGTCCATCGTTTCCGAGGTACTTACTGTTTCGGAATGCAGGGGGAGGCGTCTAAAAAGAATCGCAGCAGCAAAATATCCGGGAAGGAATAGCTTTAGGCGTCCGAGCTGCCGCTAAAACGATCCCGGTGTAGGACGCCGATCTCACTACCCCTCCGCTTCGACTACGGTAGTCGTTATGGCGTACGCCAAAATCAATACCGTAGTCGTTTCGGCGTACGCCATAGCCAATACCGTAGTCTTTTTCGCATACCCCAAACACACTATCCTTACGCCAAATTCAATACCTTGAATAACGTCGGTTGAGCAGGGATTGAGCTCCGCATTTCGCTAAAACTGGCGGAAGCAACTTTCTGCAGCAAAGTGGCAAAGTACCCTGATTGTTTGTTGTTGTTTGTATGAGCAGCAGAACGCGCGCGGCAGGCGTTGTTAATTTTGATTAGCGTTGATACGGCTGACGGCGCACAAAGCTAAAGGCCACAAGCAAGGAAGCTTGGAGTGATTCTGTGTCGATGTGATTTGACGTCGCTTCTTTCTGTTTCTTCAGTCATCGTGCAAATGCAGGTCGCCCGACTCCCGAACGATTCGAAGGCAAGAGTGGTAGCCTGTCCGCTGGTCTTTCAATCGCATGCACTGTCGTCATTTTGGGCACAGCGGAAGAAAATAAGACGCTCACTATTTTAAATAGCGTGCGATCGGCCTGTCTAGGTTTTGGCGACACCGTTTCAGGCTGTAGATGAGAAAATTCAGCCACTACAGTACGACTGCTAGCTTGGGGTCTGCGCCTCACAACAGATGGAAAGGGGTGGGGGTGGGGATCCCTGGCAGCGGGACCTTTCGCCGTACGACCTGCGGTGCGCCAACACACTCGACCTCCGATACCCCCTTGGGTCACAGCGCTTGCTGAAAGAAGTTTGGATCGTTTTACGCAGATTTTGCAGTGCGTACGAGACGCACAACAACTACGTACTATGTCCTAGATGCCCAAGCTGAGGCTCGCTACTTGTGCGCGGCTCTCGTGATCTGGGAAACAGTACGCTCGCCATGAAAACGTTGCAGTGAGAAGTACGGAAAAGTAATACTATAAAAGTATAGTATCTAAAACTGGCTTACATTGTCACTGAGCATATGGAAATAAAACTTATTAGGAATGTCGATCAGATGGGTGGGAATGTTATATAATGTGCTCAAGTTATGTGTGAAGTTGCATCGGCACAGGAATTCAAACTTGTTGGCCCCACCCCCGCTCCTAAATTCTTCCAATGTTACTAACAGTTTTTTTTTATTATTATTATTATTATTATTGCAATTTCAAAGGTCCCAACAGGGGCATTACATAAGGAGCGGGGGGGGGGAGGAGGAGGAGTACATGAAAAATACAAGATCAACATATGAACAGACAGGTGGCTGATACCTACAGGGCTGGTGAGTAATATAAACAGTGAGAACAATTGTGTGTGAAATAAAACTGGTACATATATACACTTGCTAAAAGAGTAATCGAAGCATTGCGGAACAAGACTGGGTTACCTATTGCCGGGCAGAACCAGGGTAATCACCGACTCACACCAAGCATACCGGAGCTTCCAGTCGGGCTCGGTGCCCTGAAAAGCGCTGCAGGTGCTCAAAAACAAAAGACCCCCAAAGGAGCCCATAGAATTTAAATGGGTACCTGCCCACTCCGTGGTAGAGGGCAACAAACTTGCTCACCAGCAGGCCTGCGCGCTGACTTACAGGGCCACAGCCATGGAAGAGGTGCAGGACCAACCCATGGTGACTTAGAAGGAAATACTAGTCGCACTCTACTGCAAGACCCTAGATGACGCGTTGCTGACACATGAGGAAGTTCTTGACCCAGGGATGAGCAGGCACAAAGAACTCTCGGTGAACCTGGATCTGAAAAAAGATGCAGCACTGCGTTTTTTGAAGGCTAGCCCTGTTCCATTTGCAATGTGTACCGCAGTGGAGGCAGAACTCCGGATGCTCCAAAGCTAAGGCATAATCGAGCCGACACAACACTGAACGCTGTTGAAAAACTGGCGGTAAATCTGATGCGGGCTGTAACAAATTTTGTGGTGAGCGTGCTTGGAGGCACTATTTTTTCAACAGTGAACCTCACTAATAATAATAATAATAATAATTTTTATTTGCACGAGAAAGTTTGCCCACTCAGCGGCGTGCGAGGCTAGACAGAAAGGTTAATACCCTTGCGCATGTGCACCTGCTAGCCCGCCGCTGAGTAGGTATAAACATAAACAGTAGGTATAAACATAAACAAACTGTAGTCGTAAGTTCAAGATAACACATATACACGTATGGAAACAATGAATAATCAGAGGGGAAGATAACTCGCTGTGCCCCAACCCACCCCCACGCAGAACACGGCAGAGGCCCCAGCCACAAGGCATTCCACTAGCTGTGTGTGACAGTGGAGACAGCAGATATGCTCACCATAAACACCATCAAAGGACGTCACAGAGTGAAAAGGATGCTCTTAAAAATTTCGGCTGCCGCGGCAATTTTTCAGCTCTGCAAGGAGACAGTCCTAGCAGGAAAACCCTTCGTGGAATTCTACCTGGGTAACGCTGTTGTGACGATCTGGATCGGTCATCAAGATAAATGGGCACCATGCTCAGGAAAGACATGTCAACGTCATCAACTACCATGCCAAAACTACTTCTTTTATTTCGATCATGAGCGCTTGCACGAGCCGCTTCAGAGCGATGTCTCTTGCAGCTCGTCACGTGCCAAGGGTTTTAAGTGTCGACCTGATATCACGCTGCCATGCAACGAACATTAAACAAATACTGCGTTGAGCAGTATGCACATGATTAAATAATGATGTACATACGACGTGATAAATGAGAAAAAAAACTTATAAAGTTTACAAAGTTCAGTCCCCAGGTAGAGGCTGCACAAATTTGACGACCGGCTTAAGTTTCTCCACATGCACTACATTGCGGCCAGTACCGTCCACGAGTTCAAGCTCGTAGTTCACGGGAGAGAGCCGGCTCATGATTTGGCGAGGGCCAGTAAATCATAGTGTTGCCTTGACTCTGATGAGTGGGCTCTCCTACAACACGAGCTAGTCCTTAAAAAGAACATACATGTGCCACT